TCGTTATTAGGTGCTATACTCATGACTATTCGCGCATGTATTAGACCAAAGATGGTAATAACAAGTGAGGAGACGTTAACCTATTTTTTGAGGAGACGGTCCATTCACATGGATGTTGACCTAACCAGAAAAAATACTAAGAAAGTTGAGAAAGAAAATATTCGAAGTATAATTGTACATAAAAAAAAATCCTCTTACCCTTTCATCGGCTTCAACCGCGCAAAGAGCGAGCCAGAGAGTGAGAAGGGAAACAATCAAGAACTTGGACATGATGCTAAAAACTTGATTGTTTAATGGCAACCTCAATGTTAAGCGTGTGATGAAATGAGAGCAAAACCATTGTATTTATAGGGTATAAGATTTACAAACTTTTCTCTTTTCTTTGTATTTGTGGGGGGGCCCTTGGGGTACCCTTGGCCCTATAATAAAAGGACTACTTCTTGAAGCATCTACGTACCTTAAAATTTTCATTTATCTTCCTAAAATTCAACAATAGATTAATGAGTCGAGTAGCTGGATGGACCATTTGTCATCATAATTGAGCCGAATGCATTTAAATGAATACATATAGGGAAGCTCTAATCAATGATCAAATGAAAAGATATAATTCTTCTTTGTAAAGTAAGATTAATATTAATTTAAAAAAAGCAGTGTGAACAAAAGGTTGAGATGCAAGTAGTCGATGATATTAAGGGCTCTTTTGATAGTCAAAAGTTGCTTTGAAACTAAGAAGCTGTTTTTTAACGTGTTTGAATAATTTTATGAAATTTATTTATCTGATTAGGCCCCGTTTGGAGGTCATTTTGCAACTCATTAATAGAAAAAAAAAATGATCGTTATTCTAAGTGGGTCCCGGCTGTGAGAGAAAAGTCAAAAAAAAGGGCCGATTTCGGTACAATAACGGTAATAAAATGCATTCTTCTGGCTTAAAAATGAGTTCCAAACAGATGAGCTTTTAGAGTAACCTAGACTAAAATAACTACCTCAAAAAGTTCTTTTACGAGTAGTAAAAGCAGAAACCCTGCAAAACAGACCAAATACTCGCATCATTTTCCATTTCCATAGGAAGACTTTTGTGGCTGATTCAGATAGACAGCACAGCATATAGTATTTTTTGGAGTAAGGATGACCTTGCTTTGCTCGATGCATAAAGTCTCTAATGTGACAAGATGATGGAATCCGGGCCCAGCACACTTTTCTTTAACCTATTAGCTACACTTTCTCTAGATGATCGAGTTGTATGTACTTAATATGAACATTCTCTTCGTATACGTCTGATTTGGATTAAGAATCTTAGTTCATTATGATACTACGTTACATTTTTTTCATTTAGAAGCCTAAGAAAAGAATATAACTTATATATTAATATTAAAATTTTGTTCTCGACGTGCTTTGGATCATGTGTAGATGAAACTAATTTTTTTTTTTTTTAA